CTGGAGAGCCTCCCCGTGACTCAATGCTTGATGCCTCTTCCACCTTCGAGACAACTCAAAAACAGGCTGCTTTCCATGCAGTTGCTCACTAGAGTAGAAAAAAATGTGACTCTCGATGTCACACCGCCTAGCTTGGGCAGCTTGCCTCCGTTTCTACGGGCTGTTTGATTTAAGTCACTCAGATTTTGATGGGCTTCCCTACAAAATATGACTGCCTCTCATAGGGGTCCTCAGAGTGCCTCCTGAAAAAACAAATAGGTCAAGGGCAGCTGATTGTCTTTCTCGAAATATTGATCTGCTGCTGCGTGTGCAAATCCTGGAGACATGTGAGAGGGAGCAAAGACAACAAGCTGTAGGGGAGCCATGGGTATGCACGGGGCTGAGAAGCGTTGAGGGAACTATTCGAGGTCACTTAGCCAGCATTTTCCAGACCTGCTTTCTGACTATGAACAACCTGTCCTTCCTTTGTGTCCAGCTTAGAGACTCCTGGTGGAGAAGTCTTCATCTTAGTGAACACCAGTTGAATGGTGAGAGTTAGAGGGGGAACTTAACTCAGGGTTCTGAGGCAGACCAACATAGGGAAGGACTCTACTTGGTTTGGGTATCTATCTGTCTATCTATCTATCTATCTATCTATCTATCTATCTATCTATCTATCTATCTATCATCTGTCTACCATCTATCATCTATTTATCTATTTATCTTTCTATCATCTATCATATGTCTGTCTACTTATCTATCATCTACCTGCCTGTCTGTCTGTCTATCTATCTATCTATTTATCTATCTATCTATCATCTATCTATCATCTACCTATTTATCAATCAATCTATCTATCTGTCTGTCTGCCTGTCTGTCTATCTATCTCCACTTAGTAGCCTAGTCTGCACATACTACACACACATGCACACACACTCTGCTCCAAGCAATGCACCTTTCAATCTCAGAACCCCACCTGCAATTAGTTACACACACTATCTGTCAACAATAGCAGATGTGTCTCTGCCCTTCTACTTTCCCAGAGCACTGAGGTAGGGAGAGTAGAAAAGCTGATCTGGCTTGAACTTGTTTTGGATACATATGCAATAAGGCAGACTGTCCTTCAAGTGACCTTTTACCCTATTTATCATCTTACATATGTGCATAATTGGGCCTGCATTTAAAATCATATGCATATGGGAAGAAACATGAGCAGTAGGAAAAAATGAATGCATGACCTAATCCATCAGTCAAAATAAAGAACCGCCCAGACTACACCACTGAGTAACCATCCCCACCCTCCTTTAGACCCCACAAAAAGAGACTTCAGGCGACAGTCTGGGGCCCTTGAGTAAGTACCCTTACTCCTGTGGCCCACTGTCATACTTAACTGTGTACCCTTCTGGAGTTTGACCATTGGCTTCTCTCCAGATAAAGTTATTGTGTTACTTTGCATACCTATGTGTCTTTGCACACCCATGTGTGCCAACTTTCAATTCTTTGGCTAAGAGAGCAACAGCCAGAAACCATTGGCCAAGAGCCAACCACAATCCAGAGGTGTTCACACACCCTTATCACAGTCCCAGAAGGGTTTGAGGGTGGACACAGCGGGACATTTGCTCCTTAATGATGCCTAGCTTACTGGAAAGAGTGATCTAGTATGTTTTTCTCTAATCTCTTCTCCATGCCCAGCCATGACAATATATAAGCAGGTGCTCCAGATGTGAGTGGACAGAAGGATGGATGGGGGGCTGGCTGGCTGAATGGATGGGATGGGAGGGAAGACATCCCAGGGTGTCCCTCTTCTTGCTTCTTGCCTGACCTAGTGCATAAGTCCTTTCCACAGCAGGCTGGCTCGGCAGTCTCTGTGCCTCCAAGGTTCCCCATACCTCAGTGAGCACAGCACGGAGGCTGGAATGGTTACCTGGGGAGGGTACATGCTGACCTTGCTGTGTGATCACAACTGCCCGGACTGGTAAGTAATGTTTGCTCTCCCTTCACTTCTCTGTCCAAGGCAGCTGGGAGCACATCAGACTCACACTCTATGTCCTGTAAGTAAAACTGCCTTTCCTCCGACCTGAGGTCTGGGCCCCATGGCTCCTAGTCTGTCCCTGCACGATCAGAGACCACTGTTGGGATCAGCTCCAAGAATACCCCAACTTTGCAGGGCAGCATATCACAGGGCCTGGGGGGCTAGTTTTCAGAGGATCTTATTACAGATGGACACCATTCTGAATGGGGAGGGACAGTGAAAGATAAAGCAAAGCTTCATTGTTAGAGACACAGACTGACTTAGAAACCCGGCTGTGCCACTAGCTGGCTGTGAACCCTGAACAGGCCACCTGACCTCCTAGGGCCCAAGGTTTTGCATTTAATAGGATTAAATGGCGTATTGCTCAGAGCCCTTCCCATGACTCAAAGAATGAGACTGGACTGAGTAGGTTAGTGGGTGGGGGGTTGAAAGAGTCAGGGTAAGAATTCAAGACGGAGGCATCCTGAGCTGGGCCACAGGTTGAGTAAGAGCAGGAAACTGCCCGAGTCAAAGGGGCAGAAACCGTGAAACGAGCTGAAGAAGGACTTTCCTGGGTGGCAGAAGGATGCCGGAGGGTGGCACTGTGCCAACAAGGGAACGTAGATCTACCAGCCTCCCTTCTCCTGGCAAACTCCAGAACAAGCCAGAGGGTACAGAAGAAGTGGAGACCAGTCCCAAGACCGCAGACTCCAAGGGACTTGCAGGGCAGAGAAGGGCAAAAGCAGACACCTGGGCAGCAGCTGGCACAGAGGTTTCAGGTAAGTGGAAAGCTTGACTTGACTTGGCATTACGCACATATTGAGAACACCTACGCAGACAATGGGAGGCCGGAGCTCAGCTCCAAAGCTCCCATAGGGAGCAGTCAGAGCAGGTGTGCCATGGTCTAAAATTTGGTTTGATATCTATCAGCTTCCTCCTACTCTGTTTTCACAGCAGGCCTGGCATAGTCCGTGGGCAGGTGTTCTGACCCCTGTTTGTACATGGGGGCCTCTGCTGGGAGGGGCAGAAGTTGACTGAGCCAGGCTCCGATCTGTCAGATTCTCAAGCCCGAATGTGCCCAAGATCTTGCCAGTCCCTTAGAATTCCCAGACCCTCCCCAACCAAAGCCCCTGACAAGCAGTAGGAAGAGTCTGGAGCTCTGTGTCTTGTTCAGTCACAGGGTCAAACTGAGTAACACTACTGCTTTCTTTGTCTAGGATGGCACGCTCCATTCTGTGCCTCTGGCTGCTGGTAGCTGGGCTGGTTCCCCATTCCTGTGACCAAGAGATACCACCAACATCACTGCATCAAAGAATATCACCAACACCAGGGATTCATAGGGCACCAAGACCCTTCTTCAACAACCAAAAATTTGCCTTGAGTCTGTACAGACAGCTGCCAGAGACAGAAGGAGGCAAAAACGTACTCCTTTCTCCGTTCAGTATCAGTATACCCCTCACGCTGCTGGCCTTCCATGATAAGCCAGAAGTCCGCCACCTGGTCCTGAGGGATCTGGGGTTCAGAGTCACCAAAGACCTGGACACTCAAGCGCCCTTGCACTATGGGGAGCAGCTGGGTGCCCTGATGCCTTCTGAGAAGTGTGGGATCCACACCGGCAGTTTGTTGTTTATGGACAAGAGAGTACAACCAAAACGGAGGTTCCTCATGCTAGCCCAGCGCTTCTACAACAGCGACGTCATCCTCGTCTCCTTAGGGGACTATGAGTTAGCCAACAAGCAGATAAACTCGGCCATTCGTGACAGGACCCATGGGAAAGTGAAGAGGCTGCTGAGGAACCTGAAGCCACTATCTAACTTACTGCTGGCCAATTACAACTTCTTTAAAGGTCAGTGAGCCTCAGATGGAGCCTTGGCAGCCCCTTGCTGGCTTGAGACTTCCTCTGCTCCTCTAGATCTTTCTGGATGTCCTCTGTTCCTTTGGCTTGAGACAGCTTCCTGCTCTTGCCCACCTCTGGATCTCTCTCTCTCTCTCTCTCTCTCTCTCTCTCTCTCTCTCTCTCTTTCTTTCTCTCTCTCTCCTTAGTGTCATCTAGTCCTTTAGTCCTTTAATCATTAGAAAGGTCTTGAGCAATACTTTCCTTAGGGTCCAGGGAGGTCGGGATTATCTAAGTCTCTTCTCGTTTTTGGAAAGTCAACCATTTTTTGCCCCAGACAAATACTCCCTCTCCTCCTCCTGAACTGCTTGCCTGGCCTCTCCTGTGCTTACGTCTTCTCATCCTGCTCCTTTCTTCCATCCTGTACCTCTCTCTTCTAGAATTGGAAGCTCCTTTTATAGATACAGTCCCCACTCCCTCCTCCTTGCTAACTTTCGGGACAAGGCATCTCAATCCAGGACCAGCTACATTACTCTTAGGACTCACTGACAAATGAGACGAGGGGCCCTATGCTCTAAGGTCACATTCCAGTGTGGTGGTAGAGCATGAGGCCACCCGTGGAGCCCTGTGTGACCGTCTAGCCCACACCTCTGAAGGTCAGACTTGCCACTGGCGGTACACCACTGAGCCTTCCGTTCTACCTCACACAAGCCTGAGCTAGGGGAGGGTTATATGCTGTGTCTCAAACTCTTTCAACAAGCTGCCTTCGACCCTCCACACAGAAGGGTACCTTGTCCTTCCACACCTGTCTGGCCTGGCTGCCAGTGGCTCTTCTGCTGGCCATCCAGCTGGACACTTCCCCAAAGTCAGCAGGACTTGCAGCTCCTCTGCCCGACCTTGGTGTTTTTCTCTCTCCAGGAAATCAACACAGTGCTGACAAATCATGGCATTCCCTCCCTTCCCCCTTCTTCCAGTCTAGGTCCTCCCCTCCAGCAAGCGGGGCCGTGTAAGCTGCCTGCAACCTTTCTGTGCACGGAACACTCCCAACTTCGTGTCAGATCCCCATGCCTGCCAGGCCCCTGGTCACCTCCGTTCAAATGGAGCAGCCTGGGCTTGGCGTGTTTCATACGGAAGTAGTACCTCCACCCAGGAAGTCCCCTTCTCCTAATCCTTCTCTTCAAGGCTTGGTAAATTGTCCCGCGCTATCGTCTCGCCAGCAAGAACCACGCGGGACACTAGGATTCTTCTGCAGAAATAGCTTTAATGCATCCTGAGAGAGAGAGCATCAGCTAACATGGCCGGGGACCCAGATATGAAGGAACCCATCCCTTATATAGGAAACAGTCCTTGCTTCGGACATGTCACTCTTGGATTGGTCTGCTGCCCAATTAGCCCAGGTGAAGCCTCAGGAGTAGGCGGGGACAGCAGTGGAAAGTTACCAAGCACATGTACGTTCACCTGGCAGTGAAACCAGATGCCAGCGCCATCTTGTAATGGGGCATGTGGATGCGGCCCTTCACAGTAAATTGCTCTGATTCTAGCCCAAGCTAGGGACGTTGATGCTCCCTCGCCCCAGGCCTCTTTTCTCCCCACACCATGTGCTAAATCTGACCATTGCCCCAACCATGGCCACTATTCTTGTTCAGCTTGCCAAGCTACGTTAACTCTTCCCAACGTTACTATGAGTGTGTCTGCATTTTTCCTCTCTATTTCTTTTGCAGGGAGGGACGTATGATCCTTCTGCCTCAGTCTCCCACATCCTGGGACTCCAAGTGTGTGTCCCCGTACCCGCAGCTATGAGTTCTAAAGGAGTCTGTCTTCAACTTGTCTCCCCCAGGGCCCTTGAATGACCCATCCCCTGCCCTCTCTCCCATCCATCTCTGTTATCCTCTCTACCTCCCCCTCCCCCCAAAGCACCACAGTTACTTAAAACTTCAGCCCTACCTCAGCTACACAACCCTAGTGCTGTCAGCCTAGCTGATGCCTCCTCCATCACGCACATGAATGGCTTTGCTCCTTCCTCCTCTCTTCTTCCTCAGCGATGGGCCCTCCTTCGGGGCTCAGCTCGGGCTTCCAGAAAGTCTTTCGTGACAAGCTCTCAGGAGAGATTGCCAACTTTAAGAAGAAAGCAAAACCACAAAATGTCACAGATATTTAACCATGGTTGTACCTCCAACATTTAGACGTAACTGGGCATCTTATCTTTTATCTGGGCTCCCTTCCTATCCCTGCTCGAAGGAGGTGGCTGTGGAGAAAAACAAGCTTTTGTTTGGTACATGAAATCTGAGCTGCTTCTAGGGAGTTTGGATGGCAGTGGTAGGCGGTTGTCGGGATGGGGTCTGGCACTTTGAGAGGTGCAGGTTTGGGAACTAGGGGCTTAGAGCCCCAGAGAGTGGACGGCTTGGAGCTGCTAAAGAGAACAGCTCGCTTCTAAGTTCACCCACTCCGTTCTATTAGGAGCTCTCATGACTTTCCGATTATTTTTTCTGAGGTTGTGAACGGCTTTGTAAGGAAGGGTAGGTTCTTCTGTAAAACACCCACCTTTGCCCTATCCAGTCAGGATTAAATGCAAGAAAGTCAGCTTCCTAGTCCTCCCCAGAGGTCTCCGGCCTCAGGTGGAGCTCCAAGTTCAGTGAATCCATAGCACTGTCAGGTTCGCCTGCCACTGAAGAGCTGACCATCCACGTCCTGGCCAGAACCTCAGTGACAGGGAAAGAGGCTGGAAAAGCAGCTCTCAGATGGCTGAGATGTAAAAGTTCTTGGCTCTAAGCCCACGGGGACTGCATTCTCTCTGTTTCCACAGACGCCAGGGGAAGAACGCCTTCTGCCTTGGTAGACTGGCGCTGTGCTAAGGAAACAGATGGCTAGCAATTTCTGAGCAACTGCTGTGTGAAGGACCATACACAGGGCTTTGCTTACAATGCCTCGCTGATGTGCACAGGCATCCTTAAGAGACCTATTACCTCTGCAGGTGACCCAGGACTGGTTGACTCCCACTTCCTCTGGCCTCACCCACAACTCGGTCTCTTCCCTTCTCATTCCAGCTACACACCTTCCCTGTCCCTGAAACAAGACATTCCCACTACTGGGCTGTTGCGCATCATTGTTTCCTCTTGAGAATGTTCCTCCGCTGGCTGTTCTGTGGCTTGTCCCACGCACTGTTAAGTCTTTAACCGGTGTCTAGGAAGTTACGTGGATATGCAACTATCCCTTATTTCTCTCCTTAGCCAATATCCCTGCCAGCTCATTGGCTTCCTTATCAATCGTGGTGTTTATATTTTCTTACTTCATAAGATCTGTGTGGACAAGGATCTCTCACATGTGCCTGTGTGGTTTGCCTGGCACGTGTCAGTCCTAGGGCCTCCCTGATGGACAAGTGATGTGTCCTGGATATTGCTGGCCACTCTGATTCCTGTGCACTCTCTTGTCAGGAAAATGGAAATATCGCTTTAACCCGAAGCTCACAGCAATGAAGTACTTCTCGGTAGGCGAGGGCGTCCGGACCATGGTACCCATGATGCAGCGGGTAGGCTGGTTCCACTTGCAGCATTTCAGCCACCTGCACAGCCATGTGCTCCAGCTGCCCTACACCTGCAACATCTCAGGAGTCTTCATTCTCCCGGATGAGGGGAGATTTGAGGACTGTGAGAACGCGCTGATGAAGGAGAGCTTCGACACATGGACTCAGCCCTTACCACGGAGGTGAGAACCCAGCTATTGCCACCTCCCGCAGCGCGGCAAGACCTTTTCCACCATCGCCTTAGCTCTGGGTGAGAGGTGGAGACCTTTCTAGTCTTTGGGGAATGACATGGCATGGGATCTGGGACATGGTCTCACACATTATCAGACAGGATTCAGTCAACCTTACCTTTCAAAGATGGGGAAAACACACAAATCAAAATCACTACCATCACCATCTTTATCATCATTATCACCATCACCACCATCACTATTATCACATCATCACCACCACCACCATCATCATCACCACCATCACCATCATCACCACCATCATCACCAACACCACCATCACCATCATCACCACCATCACCACCATCACCATCATCA